GTAAGCAGTAGTCACGGCACGGTTGATGGATACAGTGGAAACTATGTGTTAGGGTAATTACTTCATCGATCCTTTGGATGGTTACATCGTAGATACTTAGACAACGAAAGAAAAATAAAAAGGAAAAAAAAACTAAGGAAAAGAGATGACTTGGTAACCATAGAGAGAAATAGAAAAGGTAAGAAAGAGAGAACTAAACAGAGTGGGAGAAAATTAAGCGAGCGAGAGAGAAAGAGAGAGAGAGAGAGAGAGAGAGAGAAAGAAAAGAGAGAGAGAGAGGAGAGAGAGAGAGGAGAGAGAGAGAGGAGAGAGAGAGAGTATTTGTCTGTTATAGCTTCGGGCATTACTTGTGGCTACGGGCCAATGACAATTTCAATTTCGACAGCAATAATTTTTTCACTTCTTTTAAGACTCAGTTATAATAATAATAATAATAATAATAATAATAATAATAATAAATCTATAATTTTCCGTAATTTTTCGCGATTTTCAACAAAATTTAAAAAAAAATTTAAATGCGATTTTTAATTTTAATATGTCCGCCGTTGATTTTTTAGGGCGCAAATCCATTCTCAATTTGTTATATTTTTTTCTTTATTTGCACTGAATTTAAACAGAAAATATTGTAAATACTTGTTGTTGCTATTATTTCTTCAGCTTAGCTTAGTTTGGCATAAGGACGCAAATATTGAGCATGAGGTTGAAAACGAACTCACCACTCAATAGACAAACTTACTAATCCTCACCATACGCCAAAGTGTTTTTGTGGCTTATGGCACAAAATTACAAATATGGAAAGCGAAATCGCTATTCAGTTCGAACTTCGCCATGATCGATTTTTCATGGAGACGACGATATTATCGACTTAGGAAGGCGATCCCAGTACGCGACACCATTATAAAGTGCGCGAAAAGCATTCCCCCGGTCGACCCAAGTCTTGTGAGTGAAATTGGGTCGACTGTTCTGAAGCCGTCGAATAGATCCGCTCAACATAAACAACAGGTTGGACACTGTGGGTATTGGAGAAACACAAATATGCCTGAGCAGGCGTTTGCAACAGGGATTCGCGGGTTACACGAGCAAGCGGTTGTATTAGGAAACGAATAGCCAACCATTTTTCAATAGTAATTGTAAAGCAGAGCAGTTCGTAAAAGCTCATACATTATTCCAAGCGCTCAAACCCCATTTCTGGCTTTTTATCATATCTTACAATTACCTTAGAGTTTTATATATATATATATATTTATACGGAATAAATGGATTTCTTATGCATACATTATTTCCAAACGTCATTTTGTGGATACGTGTGTTTGAGTGACTGAGTGGTTACGTTCACATTCTGTCCAAGCGAACCGGGTTCGAATCTCACCATGGTCGATTTGTCAGGAAAGAGACTTCCTGATGTTACCAGACTGGAGGGGTCAATCCCAACGTGAGGCACTTGCAAACCATACCCAAGCCTATAATCAGATTATACTACATAAGCATCCAGACATAATTAGATACATACACACACATACACATTTATATATTTGCTCCCTTAAGTTATAATTCAATAAGTGGTTAGCATTTATTTAAGTCTGAAATATTTACTGGTTGTGATTTCTCAATGTCTATGCCATTGTGGATGTATGTTTATGTATATATCGGTGTCTATGTGTATGTAGAGTGTATTCACATTTAACTGTGTGTGTGTATAAGTGTTAGTTTCACGTCTCCTTTTTCGTAAAGGGCTGTGGAGTTGTTCATGTATTCCCCACCTCTTCCTTTTTTTTTTTTTTTAATGTGTGTATATTTTTGTGTGTGTGTGTGTGTGTGTGTGTGTGTGTGTGTGTGTGTGTGTGTGTGTATGTATCTAATTATGTCTGGATGCTTATGTATTATAATCTGATTGTGTTTTTTTGTTGTGTCACGCGTGAGTTTAAGACCATATTCACAAACTTTAAAATAAAAACGGAAAAGAAAAAAATATATACATGTATTATCAGATGACCGGACGAATTGTAGCTTTTTGTCTTGTCAGACGTAATTTCAATGAAGAAATGAATTGAATAAACATATATATTTTTTCTTTTCTCAATAATTTTGTAGTTTTTAAACTTAATAGTGATTAAATTTGGATTTTTAAAATTGCCAGTTTTTAATTTTAATTTTAAATTTTATCATATAAATTTATAATTATTAGTTAGTAAAAATTTTTTTAATATTACACGTATTTAAAGATCTAAATAGCTATAATAGCAGGATTTTGTTGTCAAGCTTTTGAATCTTTCTGTACTTCGTTTTTTTGATTGGTTATTCTAGCTTTTTAACAATGCTCCCCCTAGTGTAGGATCGTTAATTAATCTGAAACTTTTAAAACCATTTATTTTCTTTTCAACACCATCACTTGATAAGACACAGAGTGTGTTGAAACAAAATGGCTATTTTGTAGTGATTTTATAACATACTTATGTTATAAATTTTTTTATAAAAATAATTATATCTGCTCTACTTTGTATTGAGCACTCTTTTAAGAATAGTAATTGTTGGTTATTGGAATTCATTCCGTGTATACCAATTATATACTTTATATATATATATATATATATATATATATATATATATATATATATATATATGTGTGTGTGTGTGTGTGTGTGTATGTTTGAGTAGACTCCCGGACTTTTTTTTTTTTTAAACAGTAGGAATTACGTCAACATTCGAGAGAATAAAAAAAACGTGCTTTCTGACAAGGTTGGAACCAGTGTCCCCCTTTATACGAAAAACTATCGAAATCAATTGCTCGACAGTAAATTGCTCGAAATCAATTTCTCGAAAAATAATTTCTCGAACTATCAATTGCTCAAAAGGCAGATTACTCGAAACCTGTGGTTAAAAAAATAAAACTACATTGTTTCTAATATTTACTATAAAATGAAATAATACAACTTTATTGTTGTTAACTGAACAGTTAAAATTAAAGAACGAGTACATTTATAGAGCAGGTCTTATTTTTTTCTACATTACTGTTTTGTCATAGTTTAAAATAAAGGGTAAATTTTTATTATTACTGTTATTCTTCGTGATTTAAAAAAAAAAAATATAACTATTGTTGCTAATATTTACTTTATTATTATGAAATATTATATGCAACACTTTCTTAAATATTCTTCAACATTGTTTCTTGTGTCATAGTTTGATACAATGTTCTTTAATCGCATTTGCAAAGTCACGGTACTTTTTTCTGCTCTCAGCTGCACTCACTCCTCCCACATATTCGCTCTATTCGCAATTCTTGTAAACTTCTTGTTTTTAGCACATTTCACATTTCACGTAAAGCTGTTTTGTCCTTAATATATAGATATCCATCCAAACACAACTTCTTTCCTTTTTCGCTCTCAACAAATGTTATTTCCATCACTAGGATTCGAGATCTCCAAAATTATTGAAATAGAAATAGAAAAAACAAATCTAGAAAAAAAAGGGAGAACCACACGTAGAGAGAGTAGCCTTGCCAACGTGTGTTGGGCCAGGCAAGAGAGAAAATCCTAGAAGACTGACGGCTAGAGTGTTGGGGCTTCGAGTAATCTGCCTTTCGAGCAATTGATTGTTCGATAAATTATTTTTCGAGCAATTGATTTCGATCAATTTACTGTCCATCAATTGATTTCGAGCAATTTACCTAGATCCCTCTGGCTCTGCTATTGCTGAGCATGTAATAAATAGTAGGAATTGTGTGGTTGATTTTAGTGACGACCGTTTTTCGATTTTATCTAGGTCTCACTCCACATTTCACCTCAAGGTTCTAGAGTCCTTGTATATCAGATCCCGTGGGCCTTCCCTTTGTAAACAGAGGGAATACTTACTGGGTCTAAATGTTATTGGACTCTAATTTTCTTGAAATTCATATTTTTCTTCCCTTCCGTTCGTTATATTAATCAATTAAATTTACACGCTTATATATTTTTTATATCCCAGAAAATAAACTTGATAAGTCCTGGGACGAAACCGGTTGTTCTTTTTTTAACTTTTTTAAAATGCCATATAAATTTTGCCTTTTCCTAGCTATTGTTAAATTGTGTACCATAAAAAACTTTCACTTGATAAAACACCAGAAGTTTTGAAACAAAATGGCTATTTTTGTAGTGATTTTATAACATATGTATGTTATAATTTTCGAATAAATATATATATATATATATATATATATATATATATATATATATATATATATATATATATATATATACTGTCGAGTAATTGATTTCGAGCAATTTACCTAGATCTCCCAGTCACAGAGAGACAGCAAGCTGATGTTGCCTGCTAATTAGCTCGTGTAATGATCTCGACTTCCATTGGCTGACCTGGTACTATGACTTTATACTACTAAATATTATTAAAAAACAAATCGATCAACAGTAGACAATATTATGACAAACTTTTCTTATTACAGAATATTTTGAATATTTTTTCCCCCCTAACTTCTAAAATCGAAGTTTTCCCAATCTTACCTCGAAATCCCGCACGGAGGCTGAAACGATTTAATGAATGAAATGAATGATGATAAACAAATCGAACGCTTGTTGAAAATCTTTTGGACCGTTCATTTCCGATCATTTCGTATCAGGAAATTAGAGTTCGATGATAGTTTTTCTCAGTGAACGATTTCAAAAATCCCGATCCTTAATTCATCTGAGAATCGGAGGGGGAAAAAAAGCAACGACAACAAAAAAAGACAACAAAAATAAAAATAAAAACATTTGATTTGCAAAAGACTTACATGCTTGCCCCCACATTAGTAATCCCCTCCGCCCCCGCCAACTAAACATATGGCATCAATTCCAGACCCGGTTTCGTTTTCCGAATTCAAAACACGGGATTTTGTTTATAAACTTTGGTCTTGTCATTATCTCCTGTATTGTTCTCTTGTTTTTTTAACCATTACTCGTCTGAAAGCAAGTTGTAAAAAATCCGTCTGAACTATCGTCGTCATTGCTCCCATTAAAACTCCATTATTATTATTCAGAGAGAGAGAGAGAGAGAGAGAGAGAGAGAGAGAGGGAGAGAGAGAAAGAGAGAGATAAAGAGATTGAGAGATAGCGATAGAGAGAGAGGGAGAGAGAGATAGAGGGAGATAGAGTGACAGAGAGAGAAGGAGAGGGAGATGGAGAGATAGAGAGAGATATAGAGAGAGATAGAGATAGAGATAGAGGGAGATAGAGAGATAGAGAGAGATAGAAAGAGAGATAGAGAGAGATAGAAAGAGAGATAGAGAGATAGAGATAGATAGAGATTGAGAGATCGAGAGAGATATAGAGAGAGAGATCGAGAGAGATAGAGATAGAGAGATGGAGATAGAGTGATGGAGAGAGATTATATATATATATATATATATATATATATATATAGAGAGAGAGAGAGAGAGAGAGACAGAGAGAGAGCAGCGAAGTGATGCTAGAGTACAAATATGGTGAAGTATGAGTTCGATTAAATTTCGATTCCGATGACTTTGTTTACACTAACATTTCGTCACTTAGCTTCGGTCACTCTGTGGTATGCGGCCTCGCGTCCACATCCATCACGCGCACAGTACATCCTACTGTCGATCGGTCGATCAATCAAGAGAGAGAGAGATAGAGAGAGAGAGAGAGATAGAGAGAGGGAGGGAGGGAAGGAGGGAGAGAAAGACCATCTCGTGAGGTTGTTGATATAACCGCATATGTCTCCCACGCCTACAAACCAGATACAGGTGTGAGCTTACGTGCTTTCCTATTCGCTGGCCGTCAGTGACCCCCAGCTCAAATGCCTCGTGCAACCGACTTCTGTGAAATGCAATATCTTATTCGGTATCCTACTACACAAGTAGACCTTATGACATCCAGTCTGATAAGGGTATACCAGGCACATGCAGAACAGCCAAGAGTGCGCAATATGATGAGAAGCTTTTGATAAAAGCAGCGCATAACCTTCCAGGTGAGGTTCAGTTAGAAATACTATGCGCTTGGGTAAGCCATTCCGATCAGTCGGTTTCTTATTGAAGACGTTCCATGCTATCTAGATGTTACCCCCGCCTCAATCCGAATAAAGTTACCCCATCCTTCGAACTTTAGAAAAAGCTTCCTCTCAAGACACGTTCACTATTTCCACTTGTGACCAGTGATGTGCATCGCATCAGCCCTGTAGAGAACTCACCCAGTTGCTGAAGGTCAACTGGCAAGAAAATCTAGCGGACGGAATAGTATGTTTATTATTATTATTATTATTATTATTATTATTATTATTATTTTCTTTGATTTCTGGCGCGTTACATTTCTTTCCGGGTCCCGCCCAGGGACCTAAGGTTAGAAATGGCGTCATGACACTTTCCACTGACAAAAAAAAAAAAAAAAATGATTACATAGATAAAGCCATTCGTAAGGTGTGGGCTGTACTTGTCAGAACAATTTTCTGTATCTCCTTGAGGCATGGACTTCCAGGAATCCCTTCAATTAGTCTACTGGAATCTTTTCCAACCAGTCCTGGGGGCTCCAACTACAACAGGGATTGTTGATGTTCCCATATGCCACATTTTCGCGATTTCTATTTCAAGGTCCTTGTACTTTGACAACTTTTTGAATATCTTCAAAGATACATTGCAGTCAGCAGGGTCTGCCATATCAATAAGGAGGCACCGTTTTTGTTTGTGGTCTTTAATAACAATATCTGGGCGGTTGGCCTTGATTGTTCTGTCAGTGTGTATTGTGTAGTCCCATAGAATTGTAACAGGTCCTATCTCCGTAACCGGGTCTGGGTGGTGTTCATACCAGTTTCTTTCAGTTTTCTTCCCGTAGAAGTTGCAGATTTTCCAGTGCAGATATTGGCCCACTCTGTCATGTCGGGTTTTATATTCAGTGGGTGCCAACACCGTACAACCTGCTACAAGATGATCAATCGTTTCTGGATATTTATCACAGAATCTGCATTTTGGGCTGACACAATATTTTAGTATATGTGCTTGATAATTCCTAGTTAGCAAGCATTGGTCCTGCGCAGCAAGGATAAAACCTTCAGTTTCCGCTTTCAACCCTGCACTACGTAGCCACTGATGTGTACGGGTTTTGTCTAGGTCAGCTTGTTTGGTACGGGCAGAGTATTGGCCATGAAGCGGTTTATCTTGCCATCGCTTCTGTAACTGGTCTGTTGCATTCGTCTTAGCTATCTTTTTTAGGTATTTTGCAGTTTCAGCCGGTGTATTGTGCTGTAGTTGCATCTCTACGCCCATTTGGAACTCCATTTTGAATTTGTTGGCTTCCTTCATTACGGAGTAGAGACGCTTACTACTTTCATGTTCCTTTATTATTATTATTATTATTATTATTTTCTTTGATTTCTGGCATTTACACATTTCTTTCCGGGTCCCACCCAGGGACCTAAGGTTAGAAATGGTATCATGACACTTTCCACTGCAAAAAAAAAAAAAAAAAATTACATAGATAAAGCCCTTCGTAAAATGTGGGCTGTAGTTGTGAGAACAATTTTTTGTATCTCTTTCATCATGGACTTCCAGGAATCCCTTTAATTAGTCTACTGGAATCTTTTCCAACCAATCCTAAGTCTCCAATTACAACAGGCATTGTTGATGTTCTCATGTGCCACATTTTTGAGATTTCTATTTCAAGGTCCTTGTATTTTGACAGCTTTTTGAATATCTCACAAAGATACATTGCAGTCTGCAGGGACTGCCATATCAATAAGGAAGCACTTTTTTGTTTGCAGTCTCTAATAAGTGTCTTGGCGGTTAGCTTTGATTGTTCTGTCAGTGTGTATTGTGTAGTCCCATAGAATTGTAACAGGTCCTATCTCTGTAACCGGGTCTGGATGGTGTTCATACCAGTTTCTTTCTGTTTTCTTCCCGTAGAAGTTGCAGATTTTCTAGCGCAGATATTGGCCAACTCTCTCATGCCGGCTTTTATACTCAGTGGGTGCCAATATCGTGTAACCTGATACAAGATGATTAATCGTTTCTGGATATTTATCACAGAATCTGCATTTTGGGCTGACACAGTATTTTAGTATATGTGCTTGATAATTTCTAGTTAACAAGTATTGGTTCTGTGCAGCAAGGATAAAACCTTCAGTTGCAGCTTTAAATCCTGCACTACGTAGCCACTGATGTGTACGGGATTTGTCTACGTCAGCTTGTTTGGTACGGGCAGAGGATCGGTTTATCTTGCCATTGTTTCTGTATCTGGTCGGTTGCATTTGCTTTTGCTGTCTTTTTTAGGTATTTTGCAGCTTCAGTCGATATATTGTGCTTTACTTGTATTTCTACACCCATTTGAAACTAATTATTATTATTATTATTATTATTATTATACATACTGTGTAAGTAGACGGGTGGCGGGCTAGCGCATCATGAGCGTGTACACCCTTTGTATCGGGTGGTTTTCACTGGGGATTAAGTGACAGCAAGCCTTCCAAACATTCTCGATGAATTTTATATTATTGTTCAACCAATAGAATTGAATGTGCGACTGGTGAAATGGAGTGAGTCGTATTCGTTATAATCACTCATGCAAATGCCCTTGAAACAGGCATGAATTCACCCCCTTCCCCAGTTAGGGGTTAAATAGTAACAGTTGCATCTGGAAGAATCGTTACTTCCGTCCTTGTGGACAAATGGATAAAGACGTTGGTTAAATCCAGTGACTAGACCCAAAGAGATGTGAGTTCGGTACCAGGCCACACAGCCAAAATATGGAGAGTTGATTTAAAGGGAAATAACTGAGACATTCAGAAGAGGAGTGGCACGTGGAACTAGAACAATCTACCCCGGTGGACGAAATAAATGGTTCGGTTTAAAATTCCAATCACCTGAAGAAGCCCGAAACGCTGTGAATATGGCAATGAAGTTGGAGATAACAGTCCGAATAATGTAAATAATGCAAGTAATCATAATACCTCATCTCAGAGATCCAATCACCCGAAGAAGGCCGGAGCGTACAATAGCCGAAATGTTGTGAAAATGGAAATGAAGATGAGGTTAACGGTCGGCATAATGCAAATAATGCAAGTAATCATAATACCTAATCTCAGAGATCCAATCACCTGAAGAAGGCCGGAGCGTACAACAACTGAAACGTTGTGAATATGCCAATGAGGATGACCATAACAGTCGAAATAATGTAAATCATGCAAGTAATCATAATACCTCATCTCAGAGATTCAGTCACCTGAAGAAGGCCGAAGCGTACAACGACTGAAACGTTGTAAATATGGCAATGAACATGAGGATAACAGTCGGAATAATGTAAATTATGCAAATAATCATAATACCTCATCTCAGAGATATACCAATCACCTGAAGAAGGCCGGAGCATATAACGGCCGAAACGCTGTGAATATGGCAATGAAGATGAGGATAATAGTCCGAATAATATAAATAATGTAAGTAATCATAATACCTAATCTCAGAGATCCAATCACCTGAAGAAGGCCGGAGCGTACAGCGGCCGAAACGTTGTGAATATGGCAATGAAGATGAGGATAACAGTCGGAATAATGTAAATAATACAAGTAATCATAATACCTCATTTCAGAGATATAGGCAGATATGGAAGAATAATTGTTTTCAAAATATTGCTGATGCAATATTCAACCGCTAAAAACGAATTATTTTTACAAAGCAAAATCTGTTTCAGCTTTAAAAAACCAACAAAGGGTTGATAAACTGTTAAAAAACAAATAAAAGCATAACTCAAACCCAGTACAAGGCCGAAGAGCAACTCAAAGTAGAAGGTTACTAAATGAAGGTATACAGGAGAGAGTAAGTTGTTCTTGTTATGAGGATATGTAGAATAGATAACAGTTGGCCTTAGTCTTGAAGAGCTTAAGATTAAATTAATGAAGTATTGCTACGGTGAACCATCTTCTTGTGACTCTGTTCCACAAAGCATCAGTTCTGCATAAAAAGCTATCGGCGTGGAACTTCCTCCTTACTAATGGAATACAAAGGAAATGATGAGTTGACGCTGTGTCCATGGCATGGCGTATTCTAGCTGTGAAGGTCTGAACTGGTGGGACTAAGGAATGTAGCTTGTTAGAATATCTGCCATGAAAATAGTAATGGAGTAGCGAGAAGCTACCAATTTTTCGTCTAGGGAAAGCGGTTGCAGGGCTGAAAATGATTTATCACCTGCAAGTCCGCGTCGATGCTTTTGGTCTCTCTCAAGGCTAGAAAGTAAAGATAGTAAAAAAAGTAAAGCTATTTTTATACTTTCATAGTGTTTCGACCCCAATTTGGGGTTAACTATTTACCCCTAGATGGAACCTTGACAGGTGCTACCAACCTGGGTCAGGGTGGACCTGGGAAGAATAGCAATTAAGGGGTGGTTCCACGCTCCTCAAAACCTTCTGATCAAAGGCTTTGCTGTCGGATGTAGTTTGTCGTCATATCCAGGACTTGTATGTAGTTTATGTCATACCAGGACTTGTATGTAGTTTAACGTCATACCCAGGACGCGGATATAGTTTATCGTCATACCCAGGACGCGGATGTAGTTTAACGTCATACCCAGGACGCGAATGTAGTTTAACGTTATACCCAGGACGGCACTATTTTTGGCTTGATACGACTCTTGAAAACAATGGCAGAAGAAGTCAGGTAGTTTCTGGAGCGGTACGAAGAACTGGCCTTTTCTCTCGAATCTTTAGCAATTGATTGTATATACGATTTTTGCTTGAGACCTGAAAGGAACTTGAGGTACCAATAGATGTCCCAGATAAGAAGCTTCATTGGGAGCAGTATCGTTCAAGTTGTTTGAAGGAAACTCGCCATCTTCTCTGTGATGATGGAACCTTACCAGCTTGTTTTGATTTTTGTAACGCTATTCTCGAAATTGATTTATCTCATCTGTACAGCAACACGTTTCGAAGAACACGATCAAACTTACCAAAATTTAAGATCGGTAGGCGTCAAATCAATAGCTTACGCTACTATTTAGACTATTTACGTTATTCGGACTGTTGCCCTCATATTTATTGTCATATTCACGACGTTTCAGCCGTTGTACACTCCGGCTTTCTTCAGGTGATATACGTTGGTATTTCGAACCGAACCCTTTGTATCGTCCACCGGGGTAGATTGTTCTAGTTCCACGTGCCATGCCTTTTTCTGGACACGTCCGTCTCAGTTATTTCCCTTTAGTAACACAACTCTCCAAGTTTTGTTCACCTCTAGTCCAGTGGGTAAAAAGCGTTGGTTGAAGTATTCCAGCGGCTTGACCTAAAGAGTTGTAAGTTCAATACCTGAGCACAGCAGAGCTGAACAAAACCTGTGTAACCCTCTACCTCGAGTTGATCTTTGCAGGTTTATTATTTTTCAAATAGTTTTCTTTATAGCACGATTACTTTAGTCCAGGTATAAAAAATTATCGATTAACATTTATTTACGTTTGAGTTGAAAAATTCCCACTAGCGTGACTGTTCAAATTGACCCATCTCTTTGTTTAGAAGTGTCAATGAATGCCAGAACATGTGTTCATTTTTTTATATATACAAATCGCCAGTGATAACGCTCTTCCCAGCATCCTTATGCCCAACTTGTCAGCGCCCATCTTCTTTCATTTATACAAGTTAGCTGCTATTATTCTTTTAGAGAACTCAACAGAGCCTACTTTCTTTTTAATTATGATTTTTCAGTTTTACGATTCGTGATCCCCTATCGTCTTCCTTTTTTTTCAGCCTGCCAGCACCCATCTTCTTTCTTTCCAAGTACTTAGTCAATAAACAGTACATTACGGAAATTTATTGATTGATTTGATTGTTTAACGGCACACCAACTCCTTATGGGTCATTTAATGCTGAAATTTAATTTTCTTGAGAGCTTTGAAATAAAAATATGATATGTGTTATTCTTCTTTCGCAGTTGAGTAAATGGTAGATAATACTCAACTTTTATGCATATACGTGTTTGTGTAGATTTAATTACTAGAAGCGATATTTTCTGTTATTTTGACATACAGTTTGATTTCTTTAAGAGATTGGAGGATATTATAACGATTAATGTCAAGAAAGCGTTATTTCATGTTGTTTCTTGATTGGGTGATTTTGTTTGGCGGTATATCAACCTCTATGGGTTATTTAATGCCGAAATCTAAATATTTCGAACACAATGTTATGGCTTCAACTACATATGGGGTGGTAGCACCTGTTAGGTTCCCAGTTATGAGCAAATAGTTAACCCTTAAACTGGGGTCAAAACCCTATGAAAGTATAAAAAAATAGGTTTTATAGTAAAATTACCAGCAATACATTTTTGGAAAAAAAAAATATTACCAGCAATAGATTTGACTCGCGACAAAAAACCACTTTACAAAAATACGTCAATGAAACCTGATCTAAAAACTGATTTTTTGCCGGCATTAAATAACACTTTGAGGTTGATATACCGTAAAAATGATAAACCAAACCCAAACCGATCAACTAAATATATTTTGAACGCAATTGTATTTAACTACAGCTAACATATATTGTTTGCCATTTTAATATAAATATATATTGTTCATAATTTTACTATGAAAATGCATTTTTAGTTTCATAGTATCTTATTTTTGTTTGCGGGGGGTCACTATTTGCTCATAGCTGGGACCCTAACAGGTGCTACCAACTGGGGTCAGGGTGGACCTGGGAACAGCAGCAATAAAGAGGTGTTTCCATGTTCCTCAAAACCTCCAATCTCCAATCTTGCTACCGGGTGTTGTTTATCGACATAGCGATGATTACATTACGGAAGTAAAGAATGATGCTTCATAAAAAAAGCATCTTCAAGCCTTTTTCTCTATTTTCTTCAAAAGTTATTAAAAGCATATTTACCAATAATGCAGCATATCAAGGGAGAAGCAGAGGCGGGCTATGCCGTCTAAAATTCACCCCCCACCGTGGTTAATATTGGTGGAAAGAAAGAACTGATAAGAAAATATAAAGGTATATACTTATTTTTTCCAGCGTGAACGTGTTTGTAAAATCCGAGATAACCTCACGACATTAGATTAAGTTGGTCAACTGGCAAGTAATTTGGATTCCCGTATTTCGTTTTATTTCTTTCAAAAAAGTATTTTGTTTGAAGGGAGGACAAATGGTAGACGGATCGGAAGATTTTTCTTTCATTTTTTTTTTTCTTTTCTATTTTTTGGGAAAATTCCTTATTTTCTTTCTTCCCCATTTTTTTCCTCTCTTTCTCTCTCTTGTTCTGGGGCGAATGGCGGCAAATCTGAACAATCAATCAGAGCCAAACTACTCCAAGATTTGGTTGTGGAATTGTCGAAGACATAAATATTGACAAGAGTTCTTCGTTCAGACATTTTGGTATGGGCTTAGTTCCAAATCTTCGACATCATAGCGAGCCACGAATGAGAACCGGACGTGGTAATCTTTATTGAATGTATTGGAGGTTGGGGGGGGACATGCAAACACACACACACGTACACACACACACATACACAACCACCCCCACACACATTGAGCCTACACAAAAATGCACGTGTCTTTGTATATGTTTGGCGTATGTTTGTATGGAGAAATGTCGATGTAAACGTATGTGCAGTTGTGTCAGTGATGTTGCATCTATCTATCTATCTATCTATCTATCTATCTATTTATCTATCTATGAACGAGTAATGCAAATTTCTCACAACCTTTCACCTTCCAAAATATGACCAAATCAGCATTTTTTTAAAATTCCTTATTAGATCCAAGCAGTTGTCAAGATACTGATATATATATATATATATATATATATATATATGATACAAATATATTTTGAAAGTGTGCTTTTTATATATATATATATATATATATATATATATATGGTTAAAAGTGTAATATAAACTATGAAAAATGAAGACTGAGGACAAAATCAAAAGCAATCTTCTGGCCATGTTTTGTGTTTTGGTCCTACTATTTATATATGCTGGTCAATGAAGATTGCATTCAAGCATGAAACCGACTGTCGCCGATTGGTGTTGAATTCAGTGTCCACTTTCATAGTTTATATATATAGATATACATATAGTTATATTCAGTTGTATGGAGTTTGTGACCCTGGGTTTCACGCTTTTGTGATCATCAGCCAAACTTGTTTATTTTTTAAAAAAATGAATCTATCTATGCTTGTTTGTGTTTGATTAGGTTTGTTGGTGGAAGGGGGAAATTCTCCACTGTGTCTGTTTTTGGATGACACTCTTACACACAAAGAGATACATACATACAGGTGTACGCATTATAGAGTCACACAAACACACCCATATAAGCAAAGCGAGATTAGGCGCAGATATATATCCATGTGTTCGCAATTGTAAACCTATTTCGGTGTCGAAACTGTAAGTAGCGAAGTTCTTTTAACAAGGGGAAGGTTGAGGTATTCTTGGCTATTTAGAGATCTATCGTCACAAACTCATATGAATTAACTTAGTTAAATAATAATAAATTAGGTCTATCACTGATATTGAGCACTTTTCAATAAGTATCGCGCACATATAATCTATCTATCATCTATCTATCTATCTATCTATCTATCTATCTATCTTACTTCAAACGGCATTTTCTTTATTAAGTTTTCGCGATTGCCACTAAAAATAACTTTTGAAATAATAAAACTCTACAAAACACACACACACACACACACACATATATATATATATATATATATATATATATATGTGTGTGTGTGTCTCTGTGTGTGTGTGTAAATATTCACAAATGGAGTGTATCTGTAGAAGGATTTTTACTCTTGCCTCTTTTATATATATATATATATATATATATATATATATATATATATATATATATATATACAGGGCTGTTCGATAAACGTGACTCATCTGATTTTTTTAATAAAAAATATTTTCCGTCTACTGTGCAAAAAAGTGACTCAGATATCGCATTCTAATGATTAAACTGGTAAATTTAAAGAGCTTTTGACAAAATATTGAAAACTATTTTACAATACACTCAGAACATTATTCTAGAGAATTCTAGAACAGCTTAAATTAAATCTAGAGTATTCCAGAATATTCCAGAAAGCCTCATACAGTACAAAAACAGCTTGAAATAGCCACTCAGAACCACTTAAAGCATCTATTATTGCCCTCTCAAAACAGGCAAGTCTACGAGAGAAATTGCAGAAATTGCTATAACCTCGCAATCAACTGTCTCTCGAGTGCTTAGGGCACATAATGATGCCACTCCTGCTCCAAGGAAGGAAACAAGGGGACGAAAGAAAAAGATTGATGATAGAACTGGCAGGGTAATCAAGAGAGAAGTTGCGAAGAATAGGACTATAACTAGCCAAGAAGAGGAAGGTGTTAGTCTTGCCTCTTCAACAGTCCGTAACAACAAGGTTACAAATCTTGTTAGAACAAGGCTACAAATCATGTACACGAAGGTTTAAGCCACTAATAAGAAAAGCCAACAAAGCCAAGAGACTTGAATGGGCTCACTATTACAAAAATTCCAACGTAGAAGACTGGAAGAATGTTCTCTTCTCAGAGGAAACGAAAGTTGAGCTAAATTCAAAGGATAAGCGATCTAAAATCCGAAGAAGAAGCTTTGAAAGCTCTTTGAATTTAGCAGTAAGTACTGTCAAGCATCCGTTCAGTATAATGTTCTGGGGATGCTTTTCTTTTCATGGAACTGGTTTGTTAAAACCTATTGAAAAGACCCTCAGGAGCGAGCAGTACAAGAGAATTTCTGCTGAAAGGGTGCAAATCGACCCCACCTAGCTCATTTTTATGCAGGATAATGCTTCCTGTCACAAATCAAAATTGATGAAGGAATACTTTGATGAGAAGCAGGTAAGTGTTATGACATAGCCGCCCCAATCTCCTTACCTCAACCCCATAGAAAACTTATGGAGCATTATAAAGTACAGGTTCTCGAGAAAGAAGTTGAGCGACAAAGAGGATTTGATTGTGAATTTCATATCCGAATGGAATTCAATGCTTGGACATGAGATTTGCCAGAACCTAATCAAGTCAATGCCAAAAAGGGTTGAAAAGGTTATTCAAAATAAAGTACCCATAGATTATTAAATATTTCGAACTATATTACCTATTATAAATAAATTATACCTCTATCATTCTTTATTTAAAGCTGTTCGGTTATGTTTCTATTGATTACTAGTTGCAGGAAATAAGTGAGTCACTTTTTTTTGCACAGAGTTTTTCCCTAAATCTCATTTATATCCAAAATTATAATTATCAATAGAATACTTTAGGGTGAATAAACTTTTTTACTAGGTGGTCGGGAAAGTGTCTTTATATTAGTAAGATTAAAAATTAGTTTGACCCCCAAAACAATAGGCGAAAAAATTTTAAGTAAAAAAATCAGATGAGTCACTTTTATCGAACAGCATTGTATATGTATTCCTGTTGAAATTGAAGTCAACATGGCAGTGACAAAGAAACGCTGAAGCGATCTTATATACATACACATATATCTGTCTATGCGTGCGTTTGTGTGCGTGTGTGTTTTTGCATGTGTGCGTTTGTATTAAAATAAAAAATCATTTCAGATACTATAATATTTTAGTTACCGTATTTATGAAAAATATATTCTG